CAAAGGTGACAATTTCCCCTATATGATAGTTATATATATATCTCGATTCCTAGACGTGACCCAGCGAAACGCCGGGACACGTATAACTTGTTTTTGACCGATATAACATTTCCCGTTGGTTTCATCCCATCCCGATTTTGACTGTCGCATAGTGTTATGTGAAAAATTATTTTTATTATTTTTTATATTATTTTTCCTTATTTTCACAGGACAAAATACTGAGTGGAAACGTATTTAGTTACTTTTACCTCACGAAATATTTTACATAAGTACAAAAGTACTTAGTATTTATAGCGCCACTTAAAACTGTGTACAAAAGTAAGCTCAAGAAGTCCCGAAACTCCCGAAACAATACCGAAAAATCCCGGAAAACTTCCTAATGATCCCGGAAAATACAGCACGAAGTATGCAAAAAAAACACTGAAAAAATTAAGAAAATCGCCATAAGAAACCTGCAATAATCCCAAAAGGTAAAACACAAAGAATCTCGGAAAAAATAAACTTAAGAATATCCTGAAAAGTTTGAAGAAATCCGGAAATTTCCGAAGCATCATCAATAAGAAAAAATGTGATTACTGTTTCTCTTCCTTTATAAATCTATTAAGTATCTAAGTCCTTTCTCTGTGGGGAAAATCTCTAGTTCTGAACTGGTGCGCTTCTAGTACATTTAGACCCAGTACTGGTTCGCGATAAATCTCTTTTGCATGCAAGCAACTGGCAAATTTAACATGGCGATGTCCTAGGAAGTGTCAATTGCCCCCCGCTGCATCCCTTTTTCGATAGTTCCGAACTAGCCCTAAATTCTATAGTTCGGAACCAGTTCTAAAATCGACATACGAAAGAAAAAAGTATCATGATTTTTCAATCTCTTTGGTTCTTCCGTGTGTGCGATTTTAAGTTATTTTGGAAGAAATGTGTTTTCAATTTGAAATTAAATTTGTTTGAATGATTGTAAGAAATGTACGTTTACATACCTTTAGCTGTAGCTGAGTTTGCAGAGATGCTCGCTGTTATTTCTTAGATTCCAGACGGTCCCAAGATGTTGAAATGTTAAAACCAATTTTAGTTTTGTATTACCAAGCTATGAAAAAGCATCTGCGAAGCACAGAATAGAAGCGTATTTGAACGAAAAAGCCGCCGAACACATATCTATGTTAGTTCCGAAATAGTTCTAAATTCGACAAATAGGATCTAGTTCGTTCTGCATCCCTTTTTCTATAGTTCCGAACCATTTCGAAATTCGTCACTTTAGATACAGATTTCTAGTGACAAAAACTGAAAAAATTAGTCTTTGTCTTCTCGCCGATTTTCGACTGGTGGGGATCTAGTTGCTATCGGACTAGTTCGTTTTTGCCGATAAAGACCTATTACGGTACTAGAAATTTGATTCACTAGTCCGCGGTTTCCCTACAGGGTTAGTAATTAACAGCCTCTTAATATCTAGGCTTTTTAATATAGTATTTAGGTATCTACAAAAACGAAGGATGCGGATATTCACTGAGCCAAAAGCACAATGGATTTTTCAACCATGTGATGGTTTGATTTTTTCATGGTCAATAAGCCGATTGCAAGAAATGTGATTCAAGTTGAGTCAACATTTGAGAACAGATTCTTATGTATGGCAGTGGCTGAACGAGCAGACGTGCTTGCTATTATTTGTTGACTTCCAGCAGTACGAATGCCGTCAGTGTGTATAAAATTTATTCAAGTTGAACATTTGAAGATACATTTATAAAGCGGCTGTAGCTGAGTGTGTAGAGATGCTTTCTGTTATTTATTTGCTAATCCCGTCAGAAGCAACATGTTAAAATGTTAATAACAATTTTTGTTTTGTAACTACGAATTATAAAAAAGCATATGGGTGTTTCCAGCGGAAGGTCCACCACGACAAAAAAAATAAAAGTTTTATATCTAACGTATTTACGGGCCGATTTGTCTGCTTTTTAAAATATATACTGGCTATGTAAGTAGAATTATGTTTGCATAAAATGGTCTTATTAACAAAAATATAACGATGGAAATTTATGTCCGTGACGCCACGTCACGTCACGTTTCACACTTGGGGTTGTAAAAGAGAATTGAAACAATTTGCATTAATTCAAAAAACTCTAAAAACAACTAAAATTGCTCCAAATCATATTAAAATAAGTTTCATGAAAATAGCCATCCACAATTCGCAGAGTTTTTGCGATTTTGTAAGAAAAGAAAAAATCAACTTCCATTTTTTGTCACGTAACGACACTCTCTTTAAATGCTTATATTTCAGGACCAAGCAGTTTGATTGATTTCATTTTTCGGTTAAATATAGAGCTAATTATGTGCTATACAATGGCCCAAAAAAGTTAAAGAAAACGAATGGTTTTCCTTTTTTGTATCACATTGAAATCGTACGACTGTCACGTGCGCCACCATGGGAATGCCCATATGTGAAGTGCAGAACAAAAACTTATTCAAACGAAAAATCGCCAAGCAAAAGTTTGGTTAATGTAAACAAAATTGTGGTTAATATTACCAAATCATTGTTGAAAATATCAACCAAGGTATTGTCAATATTAACCAAAAATCATGTTGATTCCTTTGAATTTGAATTTGTTAATATTAACCAATTATTGGTTGATTTTTCTCTCAGTGTTAAGTATCCCTACAGGTACTTTAAATACAAAAGTGTGTAAGTACTCCTATGCCCATCACTGATTTTGAAAAATTTTAAGACAAAATTTTGCAGATTCAATGAAAAAAATGCCATACAAATCGGTAGGACTCGACACTGATGAAAAGTTTTCGTATTCTTTTGGACTTGAGGAATTTTTTGGGGGCTCTCTTAGGACTTAGGAAACTTACGTTTCATTGAATGGAAATAATAGGAAACGAACCCGGTAGTTCGAACTTTTGGAAAACGTTACATTTTTCATTGTTCTTGCTTTCTTCATCAAAGAATTTATTTTCATTAACAGTGAACTTAGCAAATTTTACTCAATTTGCAATTACTTGTACTCCCACTTACAAATTTTACATATTAACATACATATGAATGTTACTAGATGTTTGCTTTTATTATCCTCTCTTACATATACACATCTATTTGAATAAATGTATGTATATGCATATGTAAATTGTATAAACCTATATGAGTATACATAAATATGTACATATGCACTAGAGTGGCCTTTTTTGGTCGATTTTCAAAAACCGAAAGTTTCGCACGAAAAAACTTGAGGCTGGCAAGGAAAAAAAATATATGAAATTTGTTTTTTCCGGATCCGGAAATTCCGAGTGGTTCCAGTTTGATCATTTTGATTTTTTAATAGGAAATATGTTGAAATTGAAATTATTATTTTAAATTTTCAGCTTTTACGATCATGAAACCCAATTTTTTGTTCCTGAACTATTTTTCATTGAAAACTGAATACATTTACCTTTTTAGAGTGCTCAAAAAGTCTGACATTGATTGAAAAACCATGGTACACGATAATATTAAAGCTGAGAAAAATATGAAATCATCATTTATATCAATATATC